CTTGGCACCGGCCAAAAGTCCCAGCCAGCTGAGGAAGTGTTGGTGCAGGGCGACGCCTGAAACGGCGGCTCCGGTCAAACGATCAGCTCCTTGAAATGTTTTTTTGTGCAGTCGAATGGAAAAAGCTCTCTAGGATTCTCTTACACTCTAGGGCCCTGTGACTTGTTGACTGATTGTTGAATGCCTTCTACGAGAATGCTCCATGGCCTGGAAGGGGAGACTGAGTCGAAACAAACAACTACCCTGCTGTTTCCACCCTTGTAACATAACTGACATCCAGCATATAAACATATGAGGGACGGTCAAAACTCCTTATTCAACTAAAGAATGGACGTCATCGGTTTTGAGTTGACCTTACTTTTTTTTTACAGTGTTTTGAGTTCGTCGCATACGTATGATCATATACAGCGTTGTCGGTTTTGAAGTGGACCTTATCGTTGTGCAGGGTTTTGTGCACAAACCTACCCCTCTTTACTAAAGTGGTCTTCGGTCTTCGCATGTTTTGACCATGGCTCATATGTAAACCAAACAACACTTAAAATGCGAGGCAACAAAGCTTGCGTTCCAATTGGTCCTTTTCAACCGAAGAATCCATCCAATGCCATCCAGCAACACCGACACATGACCTAATTGTACCTAATTACTGTACAAGCTCGTCCATTGGAATCGACACCGTTCGCGACATGTTGTCAAGACTCCTTTGGTCTTGGAACCCAGCACCATAAACCTCAGCTGGATTGAACAGAACTCTTCGGCCGCGTCTCCGCAGGGTCGAACCGGCGTACAACTGGATGCCAGCCGTGAGTGTGGCATAGCCAGTTTTTGCTCACCAGGATGGTGTTGAAACCATTTTCGGAAGCCAATCTGCACTCCCGAAAAACAAACAAAGCGGACACCTCTCCGGGATTGGGCATTAAACTACTGTGTTTTCCAAAGGTCCTTAAGGTCAAGTGGGATGTCAACTGGTCAAGTAAGGCCATGGCCGACTGCTCACGCTGTGCTTCTGCAGGAACTCTGGTATTGGATACACCTCCCGAATGCGGGGCCACACGAGGTTCAATGGGCTTTTGTCCGTGCCCACTCACGTACAGAGGGTGTGATGATCCTTGGGGCTTGGCAAACGTTCACGTACAGCCTCCAACACAAGACTTCAACTGATCATGCATCTGACGAAAGTCGCCTGGAGCAGTCTCTGTTGCAAATGATAGTGCTCACTATCATGCAAGAAGGAGAAAAGGTAGCCTTGCACGCGCTCTCTCCATGCTCTGACCGGATACAAGTCCGAATTAGATCAAAAGGTTACAACCACAAATTACAGTTGGCTATGAAAGCATGGCATGGTTGCAAAAACATGAACTCTTATTGTTGGCTGAACAAAGAAGGAATATCTTCAATTTTAGAGATACTGTAGTGTGAGAAAGCAAAAATTGCTACAGGTATCTTCAACTCATGCAGGAACTTGTTTTCTATACTGACTCCCATCCACCATGCCTTTCAAGTCCAAATGACCACTAGGTAATGACATATGAACATGTAGTATAATGGTTTGTCCGCAGTTTCTCCCTACATTTAAGAAACACTTCCAGGGATCGATCAATATACTAGCCTATGCAATGAGTAATGTCTTCTTGAATCTGGCTACTGGACATGTCGGTCAGCCATCATCCCTCCCTCAAGCAAGGGGATGTCCCTCCTCAAAAATGTTCCAAACGATCACTCTGGCAGACTCCCTGTAAGATTTTTGCTGACCCCCCTGAAATTACACCTGTAAGACCTGCAAGCCCTGCAAGGGGGGCTGATGGCCTGTCGTGTTCGGGGTGTGAAACTCTTGACATGTCTTGAACCCCATCTGATCATGGACCCCCTTGAAGGATTCACCAAAAAACCTTCTGCTTCCGAGGAGCGGATGCTTCCAGGCTGCTCCCAGGACCGAACCCAGTCTTCGATTTTGGACAGGAAGCTCTCCTTTTCGACGTGGACACGGTGGAGCGAGGAGCATTTGAGCGTGGCACAAGAACGGAAGTGCTCTTTCTTCACCGATGCAGTGACACCAGGGACGATATCCTTACAAAGCTTTAGCATTTAGCATGCTTTAGTTTCCTCTAGACTCTAAATGATCTATCTCCGTGAACCCAAACAAATTAACGTAAAGTCAAGCTGGATAATCGTCCGCCATAGGCCCGATCACTGAAGCTTGATCATTATTCCGCAACAGGACATATGACATGTGGCTCTGGCTTAACAACAGAACTCCCACGCTTTGGTGCTGGAAGGAAAACGTCAGCAAAACCTGAGCCCACAGGACCCCAATCCAAGGTCAACCATGTTCAAACTTGACATTCTGAACCAACGCACGGGTACACATGTTTCAAGACAGGCCATCTTGTAGCCTGCAACAACAAAACTAGCATCACTAAGCAGCTGTTTGAAGAACAAGCGTCAGGCTTCGTGCCAGTCATACTTTGGAACTCCACGTTTCGTGTCAGCAGGACACTTTCCTGGCCAAGAGTTGAGACTTCGATGCACCTAAACACCTGGACCTTCGAAACGACACACATCCATGCCTTTTTGAAACAAAGGCTCTCATCCTTTCCCAAAGATGGTGTCTTTTGTCGTGGCAAGGTGGAAGTCAGCAACATCTTGTTATAACGGACCAGGTGATGGAAACAAAAACAATTTGTCTTGGCGTTGACAGGATGCTATTTTGGGCATCCAAACGGTGCCTGCTACGGCGTCTTTCCCTGTCTATGCAATCGACCGGGGTACGGCGTGCTTTTGTTCTGCTAGGATGTGTGCCAGGCAAAAAAGAAGGTCCTTTGGACATGCGGGCATGCCTGAGACACTCCTGCGCGCATGACATGAATTCGTGAACACCGCTGACTCCGCGAGGAAACTTCTCCAGCTGGGCTTAAGTCATTCAATTCAGAAGTTTCAGTGAAAGGGAGAGGACCTCTCATCCTGAGTTTCAGGATGAGGGGTCCTCTCCTTTCAATTCCCCCCTACTCAGTGAGGGGTCCTCTCCTTTCAGGATGCTTCACTTCTCAAGGTCCATCCGAGTGAACCAGCCATCGTGAAGCCCTTCCGTCCTTTAGGTGCCCGGTTCTGCATCACGTGGGCGTGGTCGCCGCTTGGTTGGCCAAGCCGCGTTGGCAAAGGTCTGCAGGAAGTAGTCCTTCTTCCCGGAAGGAAGCATATCCTGGAGTAGGTGGGCTGCGGCCCGATTCAGGAGAGGGTGCGCTTGCGTGGCTGTGCCATTGGGAGAAGAACACATGGCTGTGTTAACACACGGTGCGGGGCTGGCAAGCGACGCGCCATGGTGCGAAGGGAATGTTACAAGGCAACTGACTGGAGTGGTGAATGCTAGACTCAAGACATGTATATAAAACAATGTACAGTAAAACATACCATGATGCACCCACAGTTCCCTTGCCCATGACGTGACACAGGAACTTAGTGGGATTTGAAAGTTGGCATTGATCGGCAAAATGAATAAGGCCATACACACCGTGCAAGAGCAAACCACTGTTGATACAAGTAGCAGCTTCTGATAGCAATCCTCCCACAAAGGACAAACACAACAAAACAAAGCTGGCCTAAAACATCCCAACCGTTGGGGCTTGACCGATTCACCCATCACAGGCCTTTCTCCCGGTCGTACGTAGTACCGTACCGCGCCTGGAGCACGCCGCGGAGGATCACAGGGCCCGGTAAGTCTGACAGGAGGCTTCCACGACCTCGACAGCGGCGCCCGGCGGATGGGAGCGACGACGACGCAGCGGAGCGGTGGCTGCGACGAGCGATGGCTGCGACGTCTCATTTGCCTTGCTTGGCAAACATCACTCCGGGTATGCGATCGCAGGATGAATTGAATCATGGGCAAGTCGTGGAACTGCATGGATCTCAGTGTGAGGCTGCACAAACCGAGATCAAATTTCAAGGCTTTTGAGTCCAGAGGTGACCTGACATGATACACAGCAGTTGGCCAAACCATGTTGATACAAGTCATGGTGATCCTGTTCTTACATGTTCTTACCTTACTCCTTCCACAAATTGTCAGCTTGTGTTCGGCCCCATGTAACATCAAGAACACCTTGATTGCGTGACACATCGTGACACTGCGATGACACCTTCATGCGCGACCTCGGCGAGGGCGACATCGATCTGGCGAGACCTCTGAGCGGCCCATCCGCGGTCCATCCGGCCGTGGCACTTTCGATGAAGTCCTGCGAGACCTCGTCGAAGTCGCACGCCCGTTGACGGCTCGGCCGCGCCGTGGACAGCGCGAGCGGCGGAAGAAGCATCGCAGCACGAAGGGCCGCCATGGGACCATCTGGAGAAGACACGATCGACAACGCGACAATGGTCACCGTTTTTCTGCTTTTGTTTTTCTGTTGTTTTTTTTCCTGGCAAACCAAAGGTAGAAGAACCAAGGGTCCCAATATCACGATAAACATTGTATAGTATATGATAACTTATATGATATTATATAATAAATATACATATATTAGAGATATAGAGTTTTGCACTCTTCATTATTTTGTTGGCAAGGTTCCAGCTAAACAAATCAACCTGAAGGTTCTTGCTTGAACAAAATCATGAATACATGATGGATGGTTGGTGGTCAGGGCTACTGGAACCCAACTTCAATAATCAACAAGATCGCCAGTCAGCGCACCTGTTCGGAAGCTCTGCTGGAAGCCAGCTGAGTCGAGTGTCGAAGCGTCCTACGATGTTTAAATACTGTTTGGATGGGCCACATAGCTGGGCCTCCTTCGGCTGCTTCACGAGATCAAAGGATGTCAGGATTGTTATGTTCAGTTCCTGGAACACTCCCTATACATCTCCCAGCAGAACACTGCCGTTTGCTAGTCTTACAACCGGTTGGCGGTCAGGGCCTTTCAATGATCTCTACCTGCGGACATCTCCCCCTCCCCACAGCAAGAAGACCGAGCTGCACGGAGCTTTTGCCGGCAGGACCGTCCCCCATCTGAGGCTGTGGCATCGTCTCTGTACTCCAAACGCCATGAGGGAAGAGGTGCCACAGGTGATTGCTGCGACCTAAGTGGAACGCCACTTCCACTGAACACTGAACTCCCCGGATTTTCGACTCCAGGTTCAAAAAACAGCAAGCGCCCAGAACGCCCATCGCCGAAACAAAGTCTCGTTCTGGGCCACCCCCGGCTGAAGTCTTTGCCACGCACAGCGACTGGAGCCCAAAACAGCTCCCGAAGCTTCATGGAAGACCACCTCGGTCAGTGACGGTCTCCGAGTCTCCAAGGGGGAGTCTTCGAGGTGTACTGCGTGGCGGAGTGGATGGGGGATGCCTTCTGAAGTCTTCGGAGTTCCACCGATGGTTTTCCACCATCGTCCTGAGCATCCCTGCACACCAGTATGGAGGCCTGTGGCTGGAGGCCAACCTCAAAGGATGCTTGGTCAACTGAACTAGATTCAATGAGTATTGATAGACAGATTATATATATATAACTCTTTGTGATTTATAGTTTGCTTTATAGTTCAAAGGATTTAGATGTTTATCATTTTATCCAATCACATCTCCAGGATGATCCAACCAATTGACTTGAGAGGAGGGAGACACGAAAGGTAGGACAGCGGGAAGAGAAGAGAACGCGAGAGGCAGGAACAACAATGCAATGTTCGACATGGTGATTTATCCCCTCGGAGGCGACCTTTCGTAAATACAATTTCATATGCACTCTAAATGTTCAAACATATGCTCTCGAAATGTTCAAAAATATTCTGGAAAACAAACTTGCCCCATGGCTCAGATCATCGGTGAGCATTGAATCGGAGCATCATATAGGATTTGAACTATCCTGAAGCCATAAGAGGCTCACGAAGACGTTCCCCAGGAGAGAATTGACGTGCTTCACAAAACAAACTCTAGGTATGTATCCCCTTTCGTGATTAGAATTTCATATGCACTCTTTCTGAATGTTCAAGAGGGTTTCAACTATCCTGAAATCATGAGAGGCTCACGAAGACGTTCTCCAGGAGAGAATTGAATTTTGTGGGGGGGAGGGGTGGGGGTCTGTATTGAGAAATCAATTCAGGGGGGGGGTTGAATTGAATGATCAATTATTAGACCCGGACGCGCCAACACTTGCTTCGCAAGACAAACTCAAGGTATCCCCTAAAGGGCTACCTTTCGTGATGTACGTTGTCACTCTCGTGGTCGTTCCGATCTCCAGGGCCACGCACCGGGCCGTCAGCCAGGACCAAGGCACACCGGTGGTCATGGCACGATCCTGGCGACGGGTGTCTCTTCCAAGGCGAAGCGCGACCGCAGCAAGAGAGCGACCGGATTGAAAGGTTAAGGTCATTGCGTAGCTTCTTCCCATGGGAAACAACAACAACAAACTAAGAGCCTTTCGCGTCAAGGAGAGGAAGTTGGAAGGACACTGAACCACAGAATCACACGTACAGTACATTTCAGATTGTGGGATGATGAACAATGTTGTGTTTATAGGTCAATTTGTGGGGGCGGAAGCCGCTCCTGCAAGGCTCTGAGCTGTCGGGCCGCTTCGAACTCCCGGAAGTAGCAAAGCTCTGAACACAGGTGCCTGGTCACAGCCGTTTCTGAAGAAACTTGGCGCGACCATGGCACCCATGGCCGACGGGGGGATCCAAGAGGTTGTGCAAGATTAATCGTGGATCTATGTTGATCTCTCGAAGCATGACATCCAGAAGGGACACTCATCTTCTGCGTTCTTCCACTTTCTAAAGGTGTGAGAGGTCTATAGATACACCAATAGGATTCAATAGGAGCCTCACAGCGTTCATTTTATTCCTCCTCCAAAGCTGCCTTTGTTCCCTGGATCAAACATAGGGAGAGGACATGGTTTCTTTGGGCCACTAGGCTAGTTAGTTTGATGCACCACCAAACACACCACACTGAAAATTCATGACTCATGCAATCAAGAGTAATTATCATGGACCCTCTGCACATTCTGAACAATTCATGCATCCAGCGTGGGTCCATGCCACCTTTGGCTGCTTCGGCTGCCCTGTCTCAGCCTGTAGTGGCCCTGCCGGAAGAGTGCACAGCGGCCCCGCAGCTGCTCCAAGCTCGAGGGAGCCTGGTGGCTTGTGCGGTTTCAACCACACCAGCAGAGTGGATATCCTGAGGCTCGCTTCTAGATTGACCATGTTCCACAGGATATCCACTCTAAAGTGAATTGATTTCACCAATGAAGGGTGATCCACAATCCTGCTGATGTATCCAGGATGATTTTCCATCACCAACCGTGCACGTATCGGTTCTGCCAGATTCGTGCCTCGTCTGGAGGCGACGTCAAAGACATCTCTTCCACGGAAGGTGGCTCTTTTGGCCTGGCAGGAAGGCCGCAAAGGACCCCCCCCCTCTGTCACAAGTTACCCCCCCCCAAGTAACGGTGGCGCAATTATGGACCCCCCATCTGTCTAGGACATCATGGGGGACACGTGGCATCGATCCTCTGAGATTCTGAAACCACTGAGGTTAGGTGCTTCAGGTTCAACTCCACATGAGCGATGGACCAGGTGTCTCCACATCGGACCACGATGAGTCGGAAGGACGGACCACGGAGCTCCAGCTTGGACGACATCTTACATGACCACCTTGGGATTGAATGGGAAAATGGATGAAGATGGACGTTTCGGGACAAAGCACTGTTCAAAACAAACCATTTGGGATACGTGTGATCACGAAGTCGAAATATGTTGTCGCCGCGGAAGCATCAACCGTCAACAAGTCCGCGAAGATGAGCGGAGACTGCCTCGTCGCGAGCGGCTTTCTGGAAGCCTGGAACCACATACGAACGATGCGCTAGGGCCATACTTCTGAGGGAAGGGTCACACACATACACACGTCGTTTTCACCACGAAGGATTGCTTTTGCCTCCTTTTCTGGGTATGTTTTCATACATTTTCATACGACTCGTAGTGGTATGACCGGTCATCAGTCCCACTCTCTCTATCTCTTTCTCTTTCTCTCTCTCTCTCTCTCTCTGTCTCTGCTGGTCGTTTGGTTTCGTTCCGAAGCCTATGAGTACTATGAGGAAGCCAAAGATTTGAATGGTGTACAAGAGTCACAAGAGCCTTCACCTATTGAGATCATTGATATCTGTCAATAAATTTTCGAACACCTAGCGACATCCTCTTCCATCTATAATACTTGCTTCAATGCAAAGTATTAGTAGTTGTTACTCTTGCAATTGAAACGGGAGAGATGAGAAGGCACTTCCTTGCATCATACATGAAGGAGTTCAAACAGCTCTGCCGAATGGATGCCACTGTGATTTGTGTATTAATGTGATGTTTTCTGGCGGCTAAACTGCACATGTTCAAGCTGCTATGTGTGCATGTCATGTGTGCATGTCGCATTCCAACCAACTCCACGCCTGGCACGCCGGAGACTGTGGAGACTGCGCCGCCGCCCTTCGCTCACACCAAGGGCATCCCGAGACCGTCTCACCTCGTCGGGCCGAACTGGACGGGAGTTGGGCCAAACTGGACCTGGTCATCTCTGGCCTTTTGGGGATGATAAAAACATGTGTTCGAGAGGGCAAACACATGCAGCCATGAGTCCGGAAAAACGGACTGAGAGTGTCTCATCCTCCCTGAGCAGCGTGTTTTTGTTGGTCACTCTACAGATGAACAATGTCTCCACAACTGCACAGGATACTAACAAGAACAAATCAAATACAACACAATATGGTTTTTGCTTGCGCGAAGAATACTGGGGCCTGCGCGATTTAGTTTTGCATTTGCGGGGTATGATGCAGTTCCACTTTCTTAAACACTTTGCAAGCCAATATATAAACTTTACAAGCCAATAAAACATGTTGTTCACCTGAATCTTCGTTACATTTTCGTGCTCAGCCTGCAGCCGTTACGCCTTTAGGTCATCATGCACTTTCTGGAAGATACAGTAGGCTGTTCTTCAACTTCAAACTGATTTGGCAAATTATCCCGTAGACACTGTGCAACAGCAATAAGTCATGCTACAGTATATAAAGGATTATATAGAGGATCATAAATGACAACCATGCTTGGAATGTATTATAACCATTTGCATGGCATTGCAAAATCCCTCAATGCCAATGCAGTTTCTTGTCATCTCAACCTCATCATGGTCATCATGGTCGTAACTGCTTACCGCCGTTTGGAAGGCTTCCTGCTGCATGGTGTTGAACTTTGGGGGGACTAGATTACCACCAGGCTCACTTCGATAGAAGGCCCTACCATGGCCTACCCTTACGTCCCAACGAGTGATTCTCTGGCCGGGAAGACTCGTGCCCCAAGCGGCAGAAGCCTCCGCGGCTTTTCCGATGGAAGAGCTCCTCTAAGACGGTGTCTCCCAGCTTCGACCAGGACTCCTGAACACCCGGAGCCGCCGGGAAAACTGGCACTCCAAAACCGAAAGCACGGGCTTTCGCAAGGGTGTCGTGCATCGTACGTGTCGAGCTATAGTGAACGAACCGAGAAACAAATGGAAACGTTGGAATCGTTTGATTGCTGTCTGTATAATTACTTGGGCGTCTCACTTCACTCTATGCATGGACTCGCTGGGTGTTGTGATTGCAAGCCATGAGATGTCCATCTTCATACTCTCGATATCGAATCATCACAACGAAGATTTGTGACGAAGCGACGAGCAGTCCGCGTCAGCCGCATCAACCATCTTTGGGTCCACGACCTCATTCAGTCGCGGACCGAACGCCAGGCGTTGGACGCCAGGACTGGTGCTTTTCCTTGTGAACTCGTGGTGTCCGACTCTGGTGAACTCGAACTCCCACACTCAGAGTCAGAAAGGAAAGACCAAAATTATTCGAAAATATGATGTGTCTCTGTGCCAAGTCACTGAAAATTAAGAAGGGAAAACCAAAGGTGGTCTGAGCCCCCAACATCCCCCAACAATAAAACGTGATGTCGGAAGCTCTCAGGAATTGTCACTTTGAGATCTAGTGCGGACCAGGTGGAACATCACTCTGGCCTGTGAGGGGTCTCCCAAGCCCAAGCTGCAAAAAACACGTCTTTGTTTTCCAAAGCGGCCTTTCAAACGTCCAGATTTCGCAATTGGCCGAATTACTGTAGCCATTCAGACAATTTTGAGCACTGGCAGCCTACTCAAATTTGAGACCTTCCAGCCAGTCGCCCGTTGCCACCTATCCCTCTAGACCCTGCAGGGAGACCTTTCGGCCCAGTGCAGAGTTGGATGATGGCAGTGGTGGTGGCATGTTGAAGCATAAAACCAGCGCACCTTAGCTTCGCTTGAGGAACTGACAAGAAACACAGCATTCTTCCCCGAAAGCGCCCCAAAGAGGGGGGAAAGCAAACAAAAATGTCCTCAGCCGCCCTAGACAAGATCAGGGCGCTAATGTTATCCAGCCTTTTCATTTTGACAGCCCGGGTTGCGATCCCTTCCGCCGCGGCTTGCGGAGACTGTGTTCTTGATCAAAAAGAAAGGTTGCACTCCCAAAGTATCACCAAAATGATTGGCGCATGAATGTCCATGTTATATTGTTCAAACATAATTCCGAAGATCTGTGTCCGGTGTTCTACAATGATTGAACGAGCAACATGCCAAATGAAAAATCATGACTCACACCAAGAAGGGCTTCAGCGGAGAATTTGCCGTACACAAAGAACGGCCTCTTTGTTGGCGACGCCGCCCTCGAATATCCCGTCAGAAGCTAGCAGTACGAATTCGGTGTCCTCGGTGATCGAAAACACTGTTACTTCGGGCGATCGAAAACACTGTTACTTCGGGCTCACAGGACACTCCGGGACATTTCTTCCACGACTCGAGACTAAAGTCTCCAAGAGCTTGGAGACTGTGATAGGCCACCTTCAAGGTAACCATCTGTGAGGAAGTCGCAACACCTTCTGTGGCCAAACGGGTCAGGCTCGTCCGGTTTGTGGTCCTTAGTGAGGACCTCGAGCGCGCCTCCTTTGCAGCAAAGCGCGCGACAGTCGCCAAGATTGGCCACCGCTAGCTGAAGCCCCTCGCAAAGAGCAACACAGGCGTAAACGCCAGATGACAATCCGTAGTCTGAATTGGATTCTCCTTCCTTCTGGAAATGCTCGGACATAGCCCGGTCAGCCTCGTCAAGGGCTTGTCTGAGTCTCTCGCGCGGATTGGGATCCCGCTCTTTGCCCAGGAGCTTGGGTAGCTCTTTCTTGACAAAGCTGACTGCTTCTGTACCACCGTGGCCACTCTGCCATCCTCTTTCCCTCGCCCCAAGCATGGGCAAATGCTGGCTCCCATTGTTTGAAATGTTCCTTTCCTCTTCCTATCAAAAGATGCAGAATTGATCTGATCATGGGACTCTGCCAACCAAGATTAAGATGATGGTCTTGCTATTAGACATAAGTTTCTTGAACCTTGCCTCCAAACTATGTTCCAGCGATCTGAACTGCAAATAGCTACCGAAGCCACCGTGCATGTGAGGGACCTTGACCACCATCGGCTCATCAGGTCCGCCGACATTTTCGTTTGTTCGTTCGTTCGTTGTTTTGTTTCTGTATATATATATATGTTGTTAAGTTAATTATGAAATACATACTTAAAGGTATAGTACAGTCTCTTTGCCGCATTGTTGCCATGGTGGTTAGGTGCCTCGTTTGAGTTCTGACTGAGACTGGCACGGACTGGTCCTCCTCTACAATGACATCGCTGTCCGACTGATCAGCCGCTTCGGGCGCATGCTTCTCAGAGGTCTGCATGGAGAGGGCTGAAGACGCCGCGGACGTTTGGACCTGTGGAGTCTGGAGCGAAAAATCTCCGGTGGTTGGTGTCATGGGCCATAGAGATTGGACATTGACCGCGCAAAAGACCCCACACACTTGGACAAGGCCTTTGCCTTTGAATTGCTGATTGACCCCGTCCAGATTTGGTTCTTGACCTTGAAGGGGACATCCTTGTGAGGCTGAGGCCTTCGAAGACCTCCCCAATTGGAACAAATGGGTCTGGGTCAAAACCGGGGGACCCTGATTGACCACAGAGAATGAACAGAATAGACTAGGAACTGAAGTAGAGAGGGCAACCTAGCAGGGTGAAACGGGCTCCGGGCTTTGACCCACAACCAAAAATGTGAACAGGGAGTGCATCAACACCGCCCAAAAGGGTGGTCAAGAGACCCACGGCCCCAGCCCGCCTCTGATGCGATCGGTGCATTGGAGGCCGGTAAGGCGGGTAAGGCCTGGGGTGGGATGCACACTACAAACAAAGAAAAGTGGATTTGGGAGAAGACTCCCAAGCCAAGGCATAGACTTAATATGCGTTCAAAAATATGTATGTGTATGTATATATAAATGTGTGTATTATGTATGAATATATATATATAAGACACACTTCTCTCTCAAATATTGCACTCCAACTTCCGTATCAACTGGAAACACTTCATCCAAAGCGGCTGGACCCCCGAACAAGACCGGCGACTACATTCTTGACACTACTAGTAACAAGTCCAATAGTACTAGTAGCTAGAAGCTACTAGTACCAAGTGCATCGCTACTTGTTTCTAAGTACGTTGCCACGGGTAACAAGGGCATCACTACTAGTAACAAGTGCACCGCTATACTAAGCGCATCACCACTCGTAACAAGCGCATAGCTACTAGTAACAAGTGCATCACTACTAGTAACAAGTGCATCGCTACAAGTAACAAAGGCATCGCTACTAGTAATAAGTGCATAGCTACTTCACAAGTGCATCGCTACAAGTAACAGGTGCATCGCTACGAGTAACAAGCGCATTGCTACTAGTAACATGTGCATCGCTACTGGTAACAAATTCATCGCTACTAGCAACCTGTGCATCGTTATTAGGAACCAGTGCATCGCTATATTAGGAAGCAGTGCATCGCTATTAGAAACATAAAGGACGATACCACACGGTGAAGCGAGCACGTCTTCTTTTCCGTGGCGATCAGACGATGGTTCGTGACCTGTACTCCTGCGGTAAGGAAAGAGCTTCCAAGACCTAAGCACACTCCTCGGTTGAACAGCAGTATTATAATAACACTGGGTAACAGTCGTGGTTTGGAAAACACACAGACTAGCTTGATAAGTCATCTTTGATGATCTTACCTGATCACACAACAGGGTTGATACCAGGAAACCCGAACCCAACCCTATATATAGTACCCGCAAAGGGTGTCAAGGGCGGCAGTGGGTGGGAGAAAAGGAAACAAATTCCCAAACTTGAGCCAAGATTGACATCAAAGTTTGGGAATCAACACTTTATGTTTCAAATCTCAACATGTCCCTACCCAACCAACCATTCATGTTGAAGGATACGGAACCAGTGCATCGCTAATAGGAACAAGTGCATCGCTACTACTAGTAACAAGTGCACCGCTACTAGTAACAGGTGCATCGCTACTAGTAGCAGGCTAATCGTAACAGGTGCATCGGTACTATAGTAACAGGTGCATCGCTACTCGAAACGAGTGCATCGCTACTGGTAACAAGTGCATCGCTCCTCGTAACAGGTGCATCGCTACATGTAACAAGGGCACCGCTACTAGTAACAAGTGCATTTATTGCTATACTACACTAGTAACGAGTGCATCGCTACTACACCAGGAACGAGTGCATCGCTGCTACACTAGAAACAAGCCCATCGCTGCTATAATAGTAACAAGTGCATCACTAGACTAGTAACAGGTGCATCGCTACATTACAAACAGGTGCATCGCGACTAGAAACAGGTGCATCGCGACTAGTAACAAGTGCATCGCGACTAGTAACAGGTGCATCGCTACTAGTAACAGGTGCATCGCTACTAGTAACAGGTGCATCGCTACTGGTAACAAGTGCATCGGTACTGGTAACAAGTGCATCGCTACTGGTAACAAGTGCATCGCTACTGGTAACAAGTGCATCCCTACTGGTAACGAGTGCATCGCCACTGGTAACGACTGCATCGCTACTCGTAACGAGTGCATCGCTACTGGTAACGAGTGCGTCGCTACTGGAAACGATCAAGTTGGTAACAAGTGCATCGCTATACTGGTAAAAAGTGCATCGCTACTGGTAACATAAGTGCATCGCTACTGGTAACAAGTGCATCGCTACTGGTAAGAAGTGCATCGCTACTGGTAACAAGTGCATCGCTATACTGGTAACAAGTGCATCGCTACTGGTAACAAGTGCATCGCAAATGGTAACAAGTGCGTGGCTACTGGTAACATAAGTGCATCGCTACTGGTAACATAAGTGCATCGCTACTGGTAACAAGTGCATCGCTACTGGTAACATAAGTGCATCGCTACTGGTAACATAATGCATTGCTACTGGTGACATAAGTGCATTGTTACTGGTAACATAAGTACATCGCTACTGGTAACATAATTGCATCGCTACTGGTAACATAAGTGCATCGCTATACTGGTAACATAAGGGCATCGCTATACTGGTAACATAAGTACATCGCTACTGGTAACATAAGTGCATCGCTACTGGTAACATAAGTGCATCGCTACTGGTAACAAGTGCATCGCTACTGATAAGAAGTGCATCGCTACTGATAACAAGTGCATTGCTATAGTATGGTAACAAGTGCATCGCTATAGTATGGTAACAAGTGCATTGCTACTGGTAGCAAGTGCATCG